TTTGGCAAAGTGTCCTAACATTAAATGCTCCTATATGAAATTGGTGGCGTGGCTTTAGGAGACTATCGTGGTGGTTTTTTGGCTTCGTCGTTTTTAGTGGACACAGAGTGAAGAGGGAGTGAGGAGCCATCAAGTAGAGGAGTTGCATCAGTGGAAGGAAGGCAAGGTAATAGAGATGAAGATGAAGACAAAGATAAGTGAGGATTAGAGAGGTTTTGTGTGCATTTCGGATTGTGAGGGCGTTTGTTACTTCCCGGCTGCCCACACCGTGGAAGTTGGTTGCGTGACCGCAGAGCCCAGGGGACAACTGCTTGAGGCCGGTCACACGCGGCCTGTTTTTGTTTGGTGTGCCTCAGTAGCATACTTATCACTCCCGCCCTGTGACACGGCAGCAGGAAGCGCGGTCGTTGTTAATCCGGGCCACGGCCGATCCGGCATGAAATTTTGTGAATTTGTTTGGATCATGGTATTGGATGAGGTAGCTGCTTTTTGTTTAACCGCTATCCAAACAACCTGCCTGGCATGGTAGAACCTCAAGAGACATAAGTCTCAGCCAGTATAGCTTGATTAGGTCATTGCGGTGTTCAAGCCCGACCACCACGTCAAGGTAGCAGACAACACATGCAACAGAAATGACTCAATGCAAATACCGGAAATATGGAAGATATTATTACCGCCGGTCAAATCAGAAGAGGATAATAAATAATATTAAAATTCTATTTCAATTCAAACACATCACAACATTCCAACAAGTAACGTTTTATGACTATAAAAACACTCGTATTATTATTTCTGAATGTACATTATCTCATATTGATTTTTAATCCAATATCTAATCGATTCCACACATGTATATAAATGAAAGAAAAAAGTTGTGTGAGTAACTTGATATGATTATGAGCAATAGTTTGTGCTCGAAACGTCATCAGTTAACATTACTGTACAACACTGTGTGATTTATCAAAATAAAATCTTATCCATAATGGAGTTATACTCTACCATAATGCCGAGGTTTTATACTTATATCAGTAGATTTTCTAGTCGGGCGCCTTATGGCGTTTAAACACTTGGAGTTCCTTACGAACGTCCGCTTCGGTGGGTGGATGCGGCAGATGCCTCGATCTCTCACGCATGTTCTGACCACCAGGCTTCGCGGTCCTTACGTAAACGCTGTCTTATCCTGCGCGTAAGCGCCTTTCGCTTATTGCTGTATTCGCTGCCAGCCGGAATGGACCGGCGTTCATCCAGGAGTTGCAAGGAACTCGCAGAAATCCAGTGATTTTTAGCGGAGCCTTCTTTCAAGCTGCAAGTGGCTACACTCTCCCTTTGCATGGCACCTTGCAGATGAAGCCAGTGTTCATCTATACTACTTGGTGGATTGCTGGCAAGCATTGATTGTAACTCATTCTAGTATTTCAGAGAAGTAGCATGAAAAGAAGGCGAAAGAAGCAACATATGGGGACATGTGCGAATTATGATTTTTAATATAAGATAGATGCATTTTTGACTATGTCTGTACATGAAATTGGCCGCCAATAAACAATCCCATGACCAAATAACTGCCATATGTTCTGGCGTTACACTGGTCTTTGGAGCGGACTGGAATTTTGGGGTATGGTTAAAAATCAAAATCAGAAATATGGACTTTTATCCCTCCGTAATTCTGATCAGCTGATCAACAGATAGTGGTTAGGTAGATTGGGGTGGTCGATATACTTTAACTTCACCAAAAATTTTTATGCCACAAATATGTTGCAGCAAAAAACGGCTTTAGAAAAAAAATTAAGGATTACTCACTAACATATACATGATTTCACGATACATACCACGACGACCAGTCAATGTCATAAGTATGTTTCCTCATGCTGCTCAAACTTGGTGGGCTCCCGCAGGTTACAACGTCTCTCATCAGAACTTCAAGCTGCTTCATTCTGTAGTTATACACCACTCATGGGCACTAGATTAATTTTCAGAAGTCGGTTCGCCGGGATCTTATTAATTTCAGGACTGATGAATAAAATACTTCATTTAGACGACTGATGAAAGCCAGGGAGTATTGAACAGCTACTTTATTCTAGTGTGGGGCCAGTGAGGACTTACACTCGCTGATAACACTGGCTGACGATGGTGCTACAAATCGATTAAAACTGACGGACCATTGGATTACGTCCTAGGGGCTGTGAATGGTCAACGAGCTCGTCATGTACGCTGAAGGTCCTAGGCTTGACCCCTTGTGGGGTCATATATGCTTTCCGCTGAAAAGTTTCAAACTAGAACAAAACATCTAGCCAGTACTTCCTGGTTTTCGATACTTCTCTAAATGAGATCACTTGTTGAGGGATCAAACTTGAAATCAATAAAATTTCTGCAAACCAACACACGAAATTATACACAATTTATGTGTAAATCTTGCTATGAAAAACGTCTTAACATTTTGATAGGTCGTACTGCCAAGTTTAGTACAAAGAATGTCCGGTGTTATTAGGAACTAATTTACACGAAAGTGAATTCTTAACATAGGACTTTTTAAAAAACTCAGCAATTTTGAAGTTGCCATACTTCATTAAAGCATACTACTTATAAAGGTAGGTAGAGAGAGAAGCAGAATACAAACTATTGTAAACGGAAGTAAAGGAAATAATTTATCACATACTTTTAAATGAAATTTGCAACTTTCACAGTTTTGAGTGAAATTTCAGCACAGTCTCCTTCAGAAACTGAAATGTGATCTTCTTGATTCCTCCCCCCATATACATAGCAATCAAGAAAGCAAAAGCACAAATGCATGATACTTGTATAATGCCATTGATTGGTTGAAATGAGTACTTTAGATATCTCAGTCACATTATCCGGTCTCTGAGTTGAGTTAAACCGGGGACGTAGTAGATGAATTCAGCCCCGAACGGGCGAAAACGGACGTCCAGTGTTTAGATCAGTTTTCGATCTGGCTGACAAGTGCACTAAACTGGTTTATGTGAGTAGTTTACACCTAATTTTTTTTTTAATTTTTGATTACAGCCTGATTCCACATCGTACTTTTGGTACAAGTATGGAATTTTCAGCATGGATATCGGTAGCCCAAATTTTGCAGGCCGACCATAGATATCAGGTTTGCGTCAGCATCTCACTCAGTCAACGGTATATAGCATCATGCATTTTTCCTCCAAATGAACTAAGGTTCTCTTACTGTGGAGGTATGTGAACTCACTATAGGTAAAAATACATTAGTTAATCAGAAGATTCGAAACAATGCTTAAAAAACACATGCGAAATATCACCTATTGGTCGGAAAACAACACACACAGACACACTATGCAGTGATAGTTGTATTGACAATAAAGTTACAATGGCAATAGTAGAGCAAGACGAAAACAATTGGGTTCACCTAAGAGAAACAAAAATATGTAATGTGTAATGACTACAGTGGGTCATTAGTTAGTTTTGTGTAGAAGTTCCTGTTACATGATGTATCGAATTATACTGATCAAAACAATACGATATATATATATATATATATATATATATATATATATATATATATATATATATATATATATATATAGGAATGTTAGTAAATATAAACAAAACAACAAAACGAATACCACTCTATGCATTAACTTAAATTTCGAATGGATTTCACATAAAATTTGCGGTTACAATAATCTAATGAATAAGTTGTAGAAAATTAGTATGCTTTCACTAAAAATGCACATAATCATCTGTTAAAACATTATATATATATGATCCAAATGATGCCTGATAATTACCTGTTACCATAGTAACTGGTTTACTTTAAATACGCTTCAGAGTTTGATTTAAGTTAGTAATGACGCTTACCATGTGGCAAGGTATATAACAAGTATATCATAACACAGTTAAGAAAGCATTACGACGTGGCTAGCTATCATCTACCCTTATATTCCTGATTAGTGTGAACCATCCCGCATAGTTGAGGAGATAAAACAATGTAAGCTACTCAACAACGAGTTATAATTCCATGCAGATGGTAATGAGCTTCACCTATTATGTGATCGCTACTACTTAACTGCCCAAACCTCGATAGGTCTAGTGGGGTTCGAACAAGTTACCCATATGGTTGGAAGTCCACAGGTCTAGATAAAAATAATAGTAGAAAAGAGACTCCTGCACCAACCTACAAGCTACAAATAGTTATCCTTACCTCCGTAGACACCAAGAAATTTGAATATACAACCTACTGGATAAAGTGCACAAAAGATGACGATGTCTACATATTGTATCAGGAAATGTACATTAAAAATAGGCCATAAGTGCGTTACTGACTGACTGATGATAACAACCAATTCTTTTGTCTTGGGTTGTTGATAAGAACCTACTGATGATTAGACATACCATGTACTTATTTATCTAACTTACAGTGTTTCACTGCCAGTTGACATCTAACATGAAGAAATAATTACAAAACATAATTAAAATGTTCTTTAGCTTAGAACTGAAATAATGAGAAGATAAGAAGTTGAGCATTGAAACCTCTAGGTTCTTCAAAAGTATGGGCTAAGGTTAACTCAAGATTTACGATTCACACTATTTCCCAAGTTGAAATTGACTATTACTTGGAAATGATAACCCTATAAAAATCGGTTCACTAAAGATAAAGCATAAAGCAAACAATAGCAGCTGATTCCATTCAGCATTTTTAAGAATGTCTACGACAAATCCAAGTTACTACGTGCCACTTAGTTAATTCACAACTGCAAACTAGTCTTGATATTTAGCTAAACTGTCGGATACTTGTAAAACAACAACACTAAGTACAAAGATGTCGTTTGGGTGCATTACTTCGAAGCAATAGTTACTACCAACTACTGAGATTATACAACAATGCCAAACATGCATTGAATGTATCATAGAGTTTGGTGAAGTGATGAACTGTAAGACATGATCACGATAACTAGGAGTATTAAACAGTAATCATGAATCGAAAATTCTAATTCAATGTACGTATGTATATATATACCTACCTCTTTCTCCAAAATTCCTCTGACTTCCTCTCGAGTATCTACAAGACGACGTTTTTGTACATCATTAATTTTATGCAATGTGTTCACTCGACTAGCTAAATCATTCATTGATTTTCCAAAATGATCCATCACACCTAAACATTCACGTAGGTAACTGTGGAAAAATAGAAGAAATTTAATAACAATGATGAAAATCTACAGAGTAAAATATGTCAATCAAATAAAAAAAGAATGAGGTTGTTTTTATTGATAGTGACCAACTAGCAGTGGAATCGAGGATACGCATTTCGCAGAATGCTGACAAATGATTTCGATAGTTTTATTGATTGGGATCTTTGTGAAATCAAATGACTCCACGATCTTATTTGAAACATGTGGTTCACGCTTTCCTCGAAGTAAAATGAATCTTTCATGGTGTGCACGACTAGCCGTTGACGAATGGGTTCCAACTTCTCTGAAAGCCAACAAGCAACCTTATGCTGAGACGAGTTGATCATCTAAAGTATGGGTCTCAAGGGGACTTTTTTTATGTATCCTTGCAAGGCCAAAATACATCCGTGGCAAACGAGACCCTCGGGGTTTTCAATCATTTTAAGCATTGATGTCAGTCAATTTCTTCTTTAGAAGATCTCTCAGTGTATTTGTGATGCGTTTGTCAGCTGCATCTGTCTTATCTTTCTGGCAGTCGTCAACTTTAAACCTCAAAGGGTCATTCAACACACTTATCATCTTTGCAATTTAAGCTGTAAGCAGCTGATAAGAAGACAGCGAAATAAATGATGATACCATCTTGTTCTGCGCAAACGTGTTCTAGCTTTATTCAATTTCATAAAGAAGAATAGATGTGTGAAGTGTCACAACTATGTTGTATACATAAAAATGAATATTAATCTTCCGCTACAAACCGGTTTCGATGCTGAGAATACTAAAAAAAACTCATATTTATAGTGTCTTCAATAAGGCAGAATAAATGACCCAAAGTTTATTCCCTGCCTTCGTGACAAGACACACGTACCCGAATTGACACTTATGCTAATAGGTGTAATCACGAGTTGACTTCAGTTAGAGAACCACTGGGAAAACTGGGAGTAATGGACGGCTGTTTTGTCCTAATTTGGGACTCATCAGAGGTACGTACCCAGTGGGGTTCGAAGCCAGAACCTCCTGTTTACCAGACGAGCTCGTGGACCATTCACCCGCTGTTACCCGGGTCCAATGTTCCATGAATTCCAGCTTCTGCTAATCCTAAATATATAGCACAACTTCCAGTCAGTATCATAAACGACTAACTGATCATCTCTTACCTGACTTGGTGGACCCCGTTGGTTATGACTTCCCACTGAAACTTCAGGTAACTTTGTGTATAGAGTATCAGATAAAGTATTGGTTTGCAGGGATTTGACTCGAACCCCGTGAGTGCACAGTGATGAAGAGTCCAAAACTAGGGCGAAACAGCCGTCCGGTATTCCCAAGTCTTCCAGTGGTTCTCTAATTGATGTCAACTTGTGGTCTAACCTTTAACCCATCGAATCATTGCAAACCAAAACTTGTTAACTTATGTTAATAAGCGCTATTTACACACTCCTCATTTACAGTGTGGATAAAAGACAATGTCAACTAACAGTATGTCATGATAAAATAATTATCAGCATTAATTCCTCACTGATTATTACCTTTTCAGTCATGGTCAGCAACAAATTAAATAAATCAGTTCGAATGAACTTGGTGTTATTAATAGGAAGCAGCCATTAGCAAAACAAAATTTTGACTGTCTTTCATTTTCAAACTATTTTATTACATGAAAGAAGGTTATTCGCTCAAAACCTATTCCAAATCATCAATTTATTTCTCTACACAAATGAACACTGATTCATATGGGATTCTGATTTGTTTTAGATTTGATTTAGCTGTCAGCAGACATATAGTTTATCAACTGCTTGTCCCATCTCTATCTTATTAATTTGACAAATTATCATTCAACTAACGTGGTAACAGCATCAAACATCAATTAATCCCCAACTACTACTTCCATAACCTCGACAACTGAGTAGCAACTATAAGTCCACACAAACAGGGTGGTGTATAATTTAGTACATAAAGAAATTGTATGGTGCAACTAACGTACAGTGTTCTTTACTATGCTCAACTTGTGCATGGTCACCAAATAAAGGGAATTTAACACTAACCTGTTTCGATTAGTTCTGTCCTATAAGTAGTGGCTACGGATGGGGAAGGGGGGTAGGATAAGTGACTCTTACTTGAATTAAAGAATCATACCCATCTCCTGAACCAAAATAAACTGCATGCAAAACAAACTTATGTTTCTGTGGTTAGAGAAGCCTAGTAAATGTGTTGCTCAAACATTTCTAGATATATATGTACATGATGCTTTTTAGTATTCACATAGTCACCACTACTGAAATAATTTACCAGATGATCTAAGGCAGATAAAATTTTACATGTTTACAAAAGTTAAATAAAGAACTTACTGAGTTTGTACATAGAAAAAATCAATTAAGTGTTGCAATAGATCAGCGCTACGTTTTGCTTTCAATTCGTTCACCTTGATTAAATACTGAAGTATAAAGTAAAATAGAAAATGTCAAGAGCCTGATTAGCGATTAAAGTTTACGCATTATATGAGCACAGTACAGTAGACAATACCTGTAGTTTAATTCATTGAGTCAGTGAACGCATTACATATTCTTTTAACAAGAAGAAACCCTACCACAATGGAAATAAATATCCAAAGTAATTACAGTTAAGACACACCACCTTTAGTTGGGATGACTGACTGTAACAGCTACGACAAAAGTACAGTGATTTTATCAGAATGCATTAGTGATTAATACAGAGTTAAATTACAAATTACTGGTTAGGGTTGTGAAGTCTTTTCGGTACCGGTTTCACAAATATTATACATTATACAATGTAGTTCAGTTCTTTTCACTATAACCTGAACTCTACTTCACATTCCCCAAACAATAAATGCTGATCAGCTAAGAACTGAAAATCACACTGAAATATAAACAACATGTATAATCTACACATAGACTACATGCAAAACTGTTTTTACAGTTAGTTATATTAGTCCTAATCGTTTATTAATCATAAAAATGTTATTGTAAATAGAGAAACAGACGATTATCATTTTGTAAAAATTTATGACATTTTGGTCTGTGTTAACGGTTGGATAATGAATAAACTGAATTCACTCAAGTATATATACGAGAAATTATGCCTTACAGTATACGACAAAATTCTAAGGAATAATCGTGAAAACGAAAATATATTCATAAGATGTATTTGATAATAATAATAATAATAATAATAATAATAATAATAATAATAATAATAATAATAATAATAATAATAATAATGGTAAAGCTTTATTTAAAACAGTATGCGAATATACGGTACAAAAATTTTCAGCGTATTCAGTTCCAAAGTACTTTTTTTCACACAGGATTCACATGTAAAGTAATAATCTGAAGTATATCTTCATTTCGTTGAAGAATTGTACAGCGTTTACTTGGGAGCAAGTTAAATCATCGCGCAAGTTTATGTATAGGTCATTTGATATAACTGGACGATTAAAACAATGATAAATCCAGATGAAATTAAGCATTTTAGAGGAAAGTAGTTTCGGTAGCCCAGTGATTTAAGCAGGCTGCCTTATATGTATGAAATGTTGCCTCACAAATTTTAAGCGTCTTTGACCAATGTCAGAATGTCCTATAAATCTTTAAGCTTAAAGACTTTAATTCTTACCAACCTGAATATCTCACTTGTCGTCTTAAAGCGACAAAAGTAGGAATGAAAACAAACCCATCAGACTATGGACTACTGATTTAAGCTGAGTAAATAGTCTCAAACTTTTCAGTTATTTAGGAGGAGGAGGAGGAGCGAGTATATATCTTACAGAATTATGTCCAACGTCGTCAATTTTATGAGTTGTTTTCGAGTAAAGTTGAAGCAAAATACTTTTGTACAAATTCCTATGGTAATATATTTCTGCCAGTCAGGAAATTAAAACCACTGTATAGATGTTAAGTTGTGATGTAGTGACAGCTGGATCGATCACGCGTGGAATATATTGAAATTAATAAACCAGTATTTACCAGACATGTGCATACACTGGTATAATGGGCTCACATGAGACAAAAATATTTGCACACCTTCATGACAACAAAGCTTGAAACCATATTTTGATACTGTAATTTACACTCCAGTATAAGAGGAAGAACATCATGAACCAAAAGTTTGCGGAGCTGTAATTTGTTACTTTAGTTCTTTACAATCACTCATTGACAGGCTTAACTTCAAATCCACCCAACAGGACTTCCGAGGACGAATATAATTATTACTTTATACCCACACACAATAGCTTTGAGGACAGATACATGGTCACAGCACTAAGGCATTCGGAACAATTAATCGAAGGCTAAAATCCTAAATGTTCATTACACAACCCATTAAACTAATTATTATGTTATCTTAGTTACTTGTTGGTCAGCACAGCTAACTATATTCTAAATAAAATGTAACTCAGAAAAACAGTATATAGAAAACTACTGTTAAGAGAATACCTCAGTTAGAAATAGTGAATATCACAAACAGGATAGGTATATGTCTATCAAAACACAATAACCGTTAATAGGTAAGTTGAGCTCATCATCAATTATAAACAGCTATGGTTATTTAGCGAAACGATAAGTACTTATTAAAACAAAAGCGAGGAAGCCTTTGTTTATAAGTTCTTGATGCTTTTATTTATTCAACACAATGAAATATTTACGCAATATATCCAGGCTTACCTCACAGGTTTCCAACTGTAACCGACGACGTTCTTTTTCTAAATCTTTTGTCATACCCTCTGTGAATGCTTCAGGAGCATAGCAACCAGTTTCCTTCATCATTTGCAGCTTTTCCTTCTTTAGTTTGTCACTGTAAAGTGCGGTCATAAACATAATTATTTACGGATCACAATCAATATTGATCAACTTAGCATTTACGAATTTATCTTGATACTTAAAACACGACATTCATACCTCAACAAGCTTAGCATTATCAGCAAATCTATTCATTGGCAGTAGCCAAGATTGAATTTCAGGTGTGATCATGAAGGATGAGTAAATCAGTAACCGAAAACGGAATAAAAACTTGGAGCGAAGCCCCTTCCTTTTTATTTACTACTGCCATGACCTTATTCTAATACAGTGATGAACTACAGAAATTATAATTCCCAATTACTACAAACTGTGAAGAACATTTGCCTGTATATACGACCTGCTACGGTTACAGGTGGGTAGACTCCTGTCTTCCTCTTCAAATGCTCTAATGTCGCCACGGGTTCGTAGCATCATCCCAGTAATCCCTGTTTGCTAATCTCATGAGGCTGAAGGTGTTTCTTACGACTGTAAACGAAAGAATTCGAACGTCTGGCGCTCACAACCGAATCTTCCCCACTGTTGTTGGGGCAGACGTCAAGTCAAAGGCTTGCACGGGGCCCTTGAAACAACTACACACTTCAGTCTGGACATCCAATCAGTATTCCAGCCCTCGTACAAACTATAAGACTTTGTGCGACATTTCTCTTGATGACCGCAATGTGCCAAGTCTGTGTTTTAATAAAATAACGATAGAAAATATTCATTTCTTTATGACAGTCACTTGGTTTGAAATGTTGGTCAACAAGTAGAGTGGCATACTGTTACAAAAATTAATCACACAATCTTGTCCAGAGGTAATGACAATAATAACACACTTATCAGCATCTATTAAGTCATAAAACATGTTTCAGTAAAAATTTATTTTGGACACATTAACTTTCGTCACTTAAATAATAATAATAATAACTATATATATATATGTTACCTCAAAACTCAAAACATTTTCTCAGCCAAAATGAAATTAAAATTAAAACCATTCCTGGTCATAAATATAAATGAACCTTTCTAAAGCACTGAATTGACTGATACAAAATAAAACACAATACAAAATGATGTGTATTACATAAACTTCTACTGTACATATGCACACTTAGGAACATATTAAAGTGAGGACAGGGAAAACAGAAATAGGAGAGTTCAGTGATTGGTAGGCGATAAAATTAAATGGAGTTGAAGAAAAGGATGAAAATCCGAACAGCTGTTGTGTGTAGAATTTAAACAACAGTAGAAAGTGAGAGGTGCTTCGACGTTCCTGTTCCTATGTATAATTCGTAAATGAAATATGCTGATGCCTGTTTTCAGGCAGTAGTGAAACGTTTATATTTAGGCAGATATGTTGGTTATTGACCGTAAAGTGAATTGTCGTAACGAGTTTCACAAGAGTGTTACGACGCAATCAGTATTTCAAATACGCACACTGATCGTGTGGAAAATTTGCATAACCTCACTAAAGGTATTTAAATGTTCACCAATGGGAATAACACTTTACTTTGACACATTCTCTAGCTTTAGACAGCAAGGAGTACATACCATAAAAAAATAATGTGGTACTTACTATTTGTATTCATAATCTTTGAGAGCTTTCTCAAAAGGTTTCTTCAGGTCACTCTTTATATCCCCTTGCATAAATGTTTCCATCGGAAACACAATTATACTGTTTAAGTTTTGCATCTACATTTGAAGATAAGAAATACAAAATTGTTTTACTAAGGTTATAAACAAAACTGTGTCTGAAATACAGAGATTCTTCCTGCTTGACAACCTCTTTAAATGAGATCACATCATTTTTCACTCTTGCACTAAATGCAACTCAGTTAAGCTCATTGTTTGATGAATGAAAGCTGTTATCATGAACCAAATGCGAATACCAAGGTGAGGGCAATTACTTCCAGAAGTCCCAATAGTCGCTTTCCCCAATAGTAACACACTTGTGGTTGTATTCAAAAATTAACTCTAGGGATAGCTAGCAAACAACATTTCCATGAAACTTCTTGAAACAAGAGGTAAAAACTTTATGCATCATTAATTAATTGTGCATTATCGTGTGAAGAATAAAACCTATATAATTAGCTAGCAGATACTACAATTTAAAAGACAACTCACAATGTAGTACACAACGTGTAATACTACTGTCTACCGTATAAACTTAGATGCTTTTAACATGATTGGTCGTGGTCGACTAAGAGAATAACTATATCACAAATTAACACTATGGGTATCAAAGATTTTCTTATCCATTTGATAATAACCTCGGGTATCGCATAAATGTATATTAGATAGATAATGGATTGAGTTTCGATTTTAAGAGTCTGAGATACTATCCAACTGTCCCTGTTGGAATATGTAAAGTGCGCTTCAAACCCTGGATCCAACGGTTAGGACTCTAGAATTTAAGCTAATGGATCATTTCTAGATATAGATTTTTCAGTCGATATTAAGTAGCATGAATGGAGTATTGCTCAAACATTGCAGGCTTGTCAAAGAAGTTATCAACATCAAATGGGATCTGCTGTAGAAGACGCAACACTAGCATGCAAAAAGGGAAAGCTGGAAGTGTTCAAACACCACTTTTAACACGATGGAATACCGTAACGAAAGACACCTTTTTTTATTTCTCCTGAGTTAATCAAACTTCTACAGTGTTGTGAATAAAAGCTGAACCCTTCTATTGAAATCTTTCTTTGTAATATTTTTCAGGGTTAATGCCTTCATATTCCTTTCTACAATTACCCATTCTGTTTCACTCTTATATTTGTCAAACTCTATTGATTCCCTCCACTCATCTTCTTGTCTACCTCTGTGTGCTATTTGGAACGTGGCAACTCGAACTGCTGCACTTCGGTGCCAAGTTCTATGTTGAATCCAGACAGACAGACAGGGTTAATGGAGAAAATTTTCCGATTAGATTAAATATAACTGATTAAAGACTGATTATCCACTGCACCTTCGAAAACCAAGTCTGCTAAGTACAAGACTCATCACTGGTGCAAGAGGAAGCCTGGTGTTACGAATATTGTCCAAAGATTACTTGGATTCGAAATAAAGATAAAATATCCTAACATTACTGACATGAGTACGACGAAAGTACTGCAATTTATTCAGTATTATTATATTATTTCCTTTAATTCCTAGATAAACATAGGGCTTCAGCCACGCGTCCAGTTTTCTGCTAACGTTTTCACCCCTCTCCAAGTCTGCCCACACGCTCTCATCTCTTCACATGACCTCCTCCAAGTCACCCTTGGACGATTTATTCAGTAGCAGTTATTAAATATGCACAAATTGGTGCGAATAAAATGCACTCTTAAGGCATGAAAATCAAGCTTAAGCAACATGAAAACAATAAAAGACTAAAAACAAGACTAAAATTGGCACTCATAACCACTATGGGATTAGCATAACATCATAACATTACTGTCAAACTGGACTGTCGCTTACCAAGTGTTTAGTCATGTTAGCTAAGTCCCGGTGGACAACGGAAAACTTGCAGAGACTCGCGGCGATATCATTTCCATTAGGTTCATTTCCTTCCAAAGCTATCTGACCAAGTCTTTCCAAGAAGTCGCATAAAGCTGTTATTTGCTCAGCATAGGCTGTACAAATAAGTCAATAGCAAATTACCAATCCCTGATGAGACAACAGACTTAACCAACTTTTTCGATCGTATAAGAACATTTCTATCTGTCTCTAACCCCTACAGAAATAAATTTCAGATGAATTATACGTTATAATTACACAGTGAACTCACCTCATCCAAACTATATACTGTACATCGTACACTGGAAATCTTCGAAATAAAATTGGACTTCTCAGGGTGTCTGACATCTTCTAGAGTGTCGTTAACGAACTCATCAACAGTCAACGCATCAGGCATTATTCGCGTGCCGTTGTGACTTGAATAAGCGCTCCAATACATCCAACATCCAATATCCTGATTACGAGCTAGTATAAAGCAGTGATTTCTTTGAGCTCTTCGGTGAGAATCTATCGTCATTTTACTCCTAAATTATTACTGGTGATTAAATAATGAGAGACAGTGGAGTTATTTTGTCCAATAGACTGACAGCAAAAGACAATAGAGAGCACAGAAAAGAAGGATAAAGTATTTAAGTAAAAGCTTTTGACTTTACCTGTAACTTTCGGGTTATTCGGCTTCACAGCAGTCACGTAACAGACCCACAAGTCCTGTATATTTAAAAGAGTGAGGAAGATGTTGCTACAGAAGTAGAACCTGAAGCTTTGGCAGTAGTTCGAGACAGTGGGAAGTACCACACACAGGATCGGTGAAGAAGGTTGAATAAAATTCGCCGGGTAGGAAGATCAGGTTTCCCAAACGAATAATTCACAAAAGTGGATATTTCCGGTTAGAGAGGAAAAAGCACGTCGTGTTCAAGTAGCGCGTGCTTTTTTGAGAAATATTATGTACCAAAACACCTAACGCGAGCTACTTTGATAGCAGTGTGACAGAGGTTCTCGATATGTTTGGCTTCTGAGTAATTATTCCAGCTACATTCTTGTGATAGAACCCGAGGAGGGTGGTATGGTATGTTGTTTTAAGACCGTGATGCTGATGTGGTCAGAGTAAATCCTTTCGTCTGCTAATCGTATGCTTTGGTGAAAAGGTAGGATGACTCTAGTGATGATGCAGTTGATGGTGAGAAGTCAATGTATTTGAAAACGGATAAATAAATAACTTTAATTGAAACCAGATAAATTATTATATTATTATTGCTCCCTTGGGTTCCTAGTGGAACATAGGGCTTCAGCTGCACGTCTCCACTTGCTTCTGTCTTTTGCTGTACTTTTCACTTGCATCCATGTTAGTCCATACTCTTTCAACTCCTCTTCACACTACCTCCTCCATGTCACCCTTGCACTGACGGCCCACTCGCCGCTTCCCTTTCGGCCTGGTTCCACTCGAGCAATGGCCTGACGCGCGCGCGATGTCATCCAATGGTCTCCTCAGCGAGTGTCCTATCCATCTCCACTTTCTCCTGCATATTTGTTGGTTGGCGATTGTTTCTTGTTTTGTTTGTCCCCATAGTTCCTTGTTGGTAATTCTTTCCGGCCCAGCCACCTGGTCTTCAGTATAGAGCCAGAGAAGACAGTTGTTGGTTGATAAATGTCTGCAACAGGCTGTTGGAAATATTCTTTGTGACCCGCCAAGCGCCAAGTTTCTGATCCGTATAGAAAAACTGACTGACTTGACGTTTGTATCGAAAATCCGACCGAATTTTGTTGTTGATGCTGAGTTGAGTGACGAGGATTTCCAGACTGATTTCAGGTTGATGAATGTGTTTCTCGCCTTCCCGATGATTCTCGATTTGACATCCTCGTATGTTCCGACAGTCTTTAGTTGATACAATGCTCCCCAGATAAGTGAATGAGGAGACCTCTTTCAAATCCCCCCGTTGATGGTGATTGACGCTGGATGTTGCTGCTGCTGTTGTTGTTGTTGGCTGGTTGATTTTTTTCATCACCCCCGTCTTGTCTACGTTCACTTGGAGTCCTGTCTTTGCTGCTTCTTCGACTAGTTTGTCGGTTTTCGCTTGTAAGTCTTCTATTTTGTGATAGTGACATCAAACATAAATCATCTGCGAAATCCAGGTCTTCTAGGTTCTTCGCGTCTGTCCAGGATATTCCCGTCTTCTCATAAATAAATAAATGAATAAAAAAGTATATGGAAGAGTGATATTAAAAAGCCTGTCTGGGTATTAAGAGCAAATTTATATGGAAACACGCTGAAAGAGCGACAGCTAGCTATTAGTTTAGTCATGGTGGTAGTGCATAGAATACAGTGTGAATGTTGTTGCATGACTATCTAGCCTTCCCCTGAAGCTTTCAACAGGTATTGCAATAGACATGACTGCGTTGGAATGTTCTTTCGGTGGCTCCCTCAAAGTGACTGGTCAGTGCGTAATCCAATGATGACAGCCTTCATTTGGGGCCCCACTTGATATCACCTTCAGAGTCCTCGATTAACTCTACCCTTCTGATGGTGTGTGCAGATTTCGATAAAAATTTTCTTGATTCAGCACCGAAAACAGTTTAAAGGCTAGCATTAAAATCTAAAGATATGGTGATTTGATCTCAGCCTAGGTTCCTCACTGTCGTGATGTCGACGTATAAGCCAATTTCGCCTCCCAGCTTGTGGTTCTGTTCCTGCCTAGGCAGAATTGCATCACTCGAATTGACTATACTTTTGAAAACCACACGAGTCAATATTACATTGAGATTGGCCTATAGGTTTTAGAGTTCATTCATTCTTCTTGTCAGTTATTTCAAGTTGCCATGCAGGTACCTGAGGATGAGTCTGTGGTTCCAGTTGAAATAGAATATGGAGTAAAGGTGGATTTTGGTGGGTCAGAGTTTACTGAATTATTATCGGTCGAACAGCCAATTGTCGCTAAACAAAAATGAAAGAACCACAAAAGTATAGTTGATTAATTCAACAACAACACAAATAATGTGATAGGGTGTTTATAAAGCTTCCCAACTTCGCCTTTAAGCTTAATGTTATTCTGCTTCTTTACAGTCACTTCTAAGACCCAGAAGTCTTGCTTATTCAGTCAGGCGAGGATGGTGTTGGTATAGAAGGGAAGTATAGGCTAGTAGAAGTTGGCCAAGAAAGACGAATGTATCACATGAAATTTCAACGTACAATTAATGACTAAAGCGCAGAGTCCAAAAGTATTATTTATTTATAATGATGCACTCACCCTAAGGAATTATAAAAGTGGACTAGATTTTGGAGAACTCATTCCCTTATTTCAGAAGCATCAGATGTAACCTTTATATACTGAATTTTTATAAACGGCCAGTTTCTGGTCACCAAAAAGTCCTTAAAACAGAAGCTAGTCCCATTCCACCTTCTGCTAAAGGGCAGCTTCGACAAACGGAACTTCTTGTCGACAGTGGTCCGCCTGCTAAGAAAGACAGTCGAAAATTTCTCAGTCTCAACACATAACTTCATTGCTCATTGTTCTAAGCTTTATCGCAACATTTTGACCGGTGTCGTTATTTATATGTACCTCATACAATTTTATCTACTGGTAAGCACTGGTTGATCATTGTGACCGTAAGACGTTTCGCTTAGGTGACTGTCACCCACAACCTATGTCTATCAGACCATTTTACCATACAGCTGACCATCCGACACTTTACACTTCCACGATGCAATAGTTTCCAGTTTTTCCAAGCAAAACTATGCTATACTGTTGGTAACTTCTTAAATTACCCTTCACGTCATAGAGACCGACACATAAATACTAGCTTAATTGCCATTTTTAATATCCGGAGAAGCTGCAGACGACCACTTGCGAATTTGAACATGTGATGTGAATAATAAAACGATCCAACATCTCGTGGACCTCAGCCTTACATGTGGTAAAAGATGGTAACGAGATTCTAGAAGACCAGTTAGTCAGGCTCGTGGAAAGACTTCGAGCTCTCTTTATTGATAATATATATTTTTCGTATAAACGGGTAAGTTTACAAGAAATGCATGCCATTTTTGCAGTCACGATCAGTAATGTTATAAATTACAACCCTGAAGTATCATAAATTAATACTTTCTCAGAAGTTTAAATTGTTCAGTTATTGTATAAGCTATCAGAACAAGTTCTTATAAATGTTAAATTGTAAACCTTCTACTAAGGTCACCATCAAAGTTGAGTGACAACCCAAACTTCGTTCCCTTTCCTGATGATAGTTATGGCCCATCGATAAACAACACATATGTATATATTTGCCCGGCGTTGATATGGCATATCCCCTATTTGAAGTGGCGCCTCTGGCTTAACCTTGACGGCATTTGCGCGGTTTCGTTTATTCGAGTTGGAGCTAGTCGTCCAGGCAAACGCAGCTGACGCGATTTCGGTGCTTATTTCGCTGTTGTTGGGTGAATTTACATGAAAATTTTTGTTCTATATTGTTCTTGAGGATTAACTAATTCCTTGTGTGACAGGAAGCTTAAATACATGGTTCATGCAATGATTATTTGGCGTACCAAGTAAGCTTCGCGTACGTTTCGACGACTGTCATTCGATAAATTTCTTTGCAGCTTGGCGGAAACTTGCACTTGATTGCGAATTCCCCTATCAGCTATTGTGCAGTACCTATTACTGTTGCAGGAACCGAAGAATATGGTTGATATCAAATTCGTGCATCCTTCCGCACTTTTGTGTGTTGTTTTGATAGCTGAAAGCCAATGGAATGCATAGATACAAGCGAAAATTAGTGTCCACAAATGGGCGGAAACTGCAATGTTTTACGATCACTTATAACATTCACTGTTTTCTGCCAAAGTTTTAAATGAGTTAAATGCACACTGCAACATTTTAGTAATTTGGTGGATTTGAATACCATCCTCGTGATCAGGTACGTAAAGACATCTTAGGTGTCCCTCATTCTGTCCTATTATTGAATTTGGTTTTATAAACTTCCGATTTTTGCTATTTTCCTGGCGCCATATTATATGCGTTTGTTCGAAGTTAATTCGCAAAATTATTTTGAAATCGCGTAGAAGTATTGTCTGACATCTCTTCAAGCCGTGGACCGAAAGTTTAGGAGTGCTTGCTGTATCCATTTAGGGAGGACTCAACGATTTCTGCAAGTAAGGGCCACGCATCATATTCCTTAATGCCTCCAGAAGCGAACAGAATCTTCAGAAGCTATTAATGGTAAGAACAGGAAACCCAGCTCCTCCATTGCGAAACATCTTATAGAGACAGGAAATAGAAGTGACGTTGGTACATTTTTAAACCTATCTGTAAAGCGTGTTTGAACTGCATCCTAAAGTTTGTGGAAGCCCAAGTGTGATTGGGAAGTTTAAACCACCTTCGTGAGTTCCAAAACTATTCGTCATCACACGAA